CCTGGACCGGACTCTAACCTGTGAAATCCAGTTATTCGATTTGGCAAAATGTGCATGGTGCCTGCTATGTGCCAGACAGGGTGTAACCAGTTGTCATCCAGTTTATTCTAACTCATGCCAACCCATATGTGTCAGAGTAGAACTGTACTCCATGGGGTTTCAGTTGCTGATTTGTAAATCAGCCAGGCCCTTCTTCCAACGTGTATCTGGATGTACTAGAGCTTCTAACCTTTCAATGAACAGCCAAGTACATTAGCAGATGCTGCACTAGGCTCCCGGTATAGTACTGACCCACTCACAGCTGGTCCCTGCCTACCCAGTTGGCCCACTTCAAAAGCCTGCTGCCATGATGACAGTTCCGACGCAGAGCGACCCTATACTGTATAGGGCTTCCAAGACTGTCGTTACCAGCTCAGACAGCCTCATCTTTCTCCCAGAGTAGTTGCTGGATATAAACCGCTGACCTTGTGGTTAGCTGCCCAAGGCTTCTCACACTGTGCCCCCAGGTCTCCCCCAGCCCGCATGTGGTGTCAGGCATCAGGGTGGTGGAGCAAGGAAGAGGCAGTCCATTTTTCATTTTTCCTCGTCCTTCTCTATTTCTGTTTTGCAGTGTTTGCAGTACATTTTTGCACGTGATCATTAATATGATAGTCTGTAAACAAATGTGCATTCACTGGTAGGCGGACACACCCAGAAGAGTTGAGACCCCTCAAGCATACATTACAGAGCTCCCATCCATTCATGCTCTCTTTCTTGAAACAGAACCAAAAATAGAAACCACTGCACTTCATTTTTGAACAAGGTGAGGCACGTGCATTGCTTTAAACAGAGAGAGTCAAAATTGCACATCTCTTCCCCGCAAGGTGTGCTATTTCAGCTGCGAGTCCCGGGAGGCTTCCCCAGCACAATGGTTACAACCCATCAGCTTCTTCCTCTAGCCGGGCTCCCAGCCCTGCCCCCAGTGTTGCAGCTTGAACGCTGCTCATAAGGAGGAGGGCACAGTGAGGGAGGGAGTCTCTCCACCATGCCCTGTGCCACCTACACCCCTCTGCACCAGCCCCACCCCTGCTCCCAGCTCCCACCAGCTGAAAAGCACACCCATGCAGTGTTGGAGCTGGAGGAGGTGGAGTGGGCGCTGCCGGGACCCTGGGCTTAATGAGTGCTGCACTGGCACAGTGCTGGGTCCCTCCTGGTGGGCAGAAGCAGAGCGTCAGAAAGGCAGGGCACAAAAGCAAATGAGGCAGTGATTATGCTAAAGACAATAATGGCCTTGTTATGGGAACTATTAAAGTGAACCTCCCAAGGAAATAATTAACCTCAAAGGGGGCGGGGAGCTCCACGCGGTGTTTATAAATAGAAACTCCCGCTTAATTCAGAGTTGCTTATGTCAGGTGAGAGAGGTAGACACCAGTGCTCTCTCACCTGGCGTAAGCAATTCACAATTAACTGAGCTCTTATTCGGAGGAGATTCCTCGGTGCCGAGTATCCTTTTTTTCTGGTTAATTACTTCCCTAGGAGGTGTGCTAAGCATTTTTGCTGTTTATTGATAAATATAAAAGTGGCTCCTCATCACCTCCAAATCCAATGCTGCTGCACACGCGTTAGATAGATCACTTTTTGTTGGGCCGGGACTTCTTGTAGGGGGAGCTGGGTGAGGGGTGGGTAGGCGTGGGGGCGGGAGTGAAGCCTGCAGCAGGGTCCTGTGGGTTTACAAGCTTGGTCATGGGACGGAGGCGGCAGCCGGCCGAACATGAATGGCAGCCCAGGGAGTGGCTGCACTAAACCCATTTGTCATAAATCTCATGAACGGGGAATAATCGCGCTCTTCCGAAGGGGGCTGCAGAAGGCAGGTCATTTTCCATGTAGGAACAGCACGCTGCTCTTAAAAGACGGACTCCCCTTTAAAGTGTTGGAGGGCTTAAACAACAACACTATAAATAACAGATAGAGAGGCTCAAAGCCCCTAACAGCCCCTCAGTACCGTTCTCACTGTGAGAGAATGAGGTCCTGGTGCTTTAGGGCTAATGGTGGGCCTGAAAGTTGGCTCAGAGGACTTGAAAACACCCATTGCTGAGCCCAACCCTGTGGGTCGATTCAATCCCACCCCACCCCACCCCCCACCCCCACCACAGGCCTGCAGTTTGTTATTCTCTGCTTATCATACTGTGGTGGGTTTCGGCGTCACTATGATACCATTAGTATTTCAAATACCAGCAGCTAACTCATGATGGATGGGGTGGCAGGACCACCCTCAGACAGACTAGGAAGAAAGGCCTGGCAGTCTGCTCCCAAACAGTAGTTAGTTGCCTTCCGGTCGGTGCCAACTCTTTATGTATAAAAATAAATTCACTGCCATTGGGTCAATGCAGACTCATAGCGACCTCAGAGGTCAGGGTAGAATTGCCCCCTGAGTGTTTCTGAGGCTCCAACTCTTCACGGGAGTAAAAGGTCTCATCGGTCTCTTCTGGAGCGGCTGGTGGTTTCAAACTGCTGACCGTGCAGCCCATGCATAATCCATTCTCCCAGCGGGGCTCCTCTATTCCAAAATTAGCCTATGGAAACCCTGTAGGTTACAACAGAATATTTTTCAGTGTCGTGCTGGGAGACGAGCCGCTCAATTGGAAAGTGTTCCAAATGCGTAGGAACCACAACCTGGTCTCAGCAGACCAGTCACTGTGGGGGTGGTGCCGGGCCAGGCCAGGCTTCCTTCTCTTGTGCCTGGGGCCAGCCTGCGGCAGACAGCAAAGCAAAGCCATTGACATCAACTCAATTCCAACTCTTGGCGCC